AAAGCAGTGCTTAATTTTGTGAGTCAGTCCTCCTCCTTGGAGTAGTTAAATATGAGTTTGTTAACAGTTGTTACAAATAAATCCTGTTTTGAGTTTGTTGGCCTTTCTGGTAAAGAACCAGTTGTGCTAACAACAAATAAACTTTTTTTTCTGCATTTCTTATGTTCTCTGTAATTGCCCACAACCTTGCAAATAGCAGTCTTTCTGACTGCTAAAGTTCACGTATTTACTTGCTGGTTGACATTTTATGGTATTTTTCACCCTGCGGCTGCTAGAGAGGAAGGATTAAGGGTATTCTGCAGTTAGCAAGACAAAGGAAATGATAAAAGCCAGAGATGAATCTGGTCAGAGAAAAAAATAAGCAGGAGTCAGATCTGCACAATTTCCTCCCACAAAACAACACAGGTATAAAAACATAAGGGGGGAGGAGGACTGAATAGAGTTCATTATACACAAAGAGGTGCAGAGCAGATATTCACAAACAGTGGAGAAAAAACTTGGTTTTATATGAATTTTCAAGTAAGCATGTATTAATTCAGTCTTGGTTAACTTTTTTTCTATTGATATATGCCCTGTCCTCCACCTTTTGCTATGTCAACATTTACCTCTGCACTGTGTTTTGATGGATGTACATGGTCCCGTTTGAACAGTTGCATTTAAAACTTTATTTGCATATGAGCAAGCAAAGTTTCAAAGGCCTTATACTGACAAGAAAAAAGGCTCAGTTTAAGTAGCTTTATCACAAAATGTTACATCTTTATCCTGTATTTTAACAGGTCCATTTGTGACCAGTTTCACAACTGGGCAATCCTAGTATAAAAATATGTGACTTCTTTCTCCAGCCAAAGTCAATATAGGAAGTCAAGAAGATTCAGATCCCATAGGTTTAGGCTTGAGCTTAGTATCTGCAGTGGCACTTACAGATAGTAAGAGCTTACTTAAAGCTCTTTTAGGTATGAAACTTGATAAATCTAGCAAGAATCACAAAATACAGTCTTCCATCATCAGGATCTTAATAGCGTTAGTTCTCGTGCAGGAATACATCTCTGGAATTACTTAGTAATTAGTGTTCAAGGCTGCAAACCTGTGCTTCGCATTCTGAGCAATTTCGGTATGTGCTCTCCATTTTCTTGGCAATATCAGTAGCGGGGATTCCTTCAGAAGGCAGATAAGCACGGCAGTAAGGGCACGTCCATGCATTGTTCTTTAAACTTGCAGAAATACAGGAATGGCAGAATCTATACACAGAAAGGAATGAAAACAGACGTGATAATCTCTCCCAAACATGCTTCAAATAAGGCAGAGTATATTAAAAATAAAAATTTTGCACCACATGACATCCCTGGTGTAACACTGCATGGTATTTGTTCTTCTTAGGATATACTGTTAAGAAGGTTGTGGGTATTGTGTCTGCAGCCCTACTTGCACTAAAGAGAGCACTGAAAAAAGACAAACTGAGCTTCCTGGTAGCACTGGTACAGGACTGTGAGGACTCATTCCAGAGCACGAGGTTTTAGGCAACAGTCGCAGAGAAATTGTTAGGTTGCTGCATAGTAGTAAGTGGTTTGCTGACCTACCCATCCCAGGGTTTGGACTGGATAAAGGCATACCTACCTCTGGGAGTCTCCTAGCCACTTCACTTCTCTGGTTTTAGCAATAAAGGCAGATTGTATTAGTGGTCACTGCAGCTCTTTTGAAAGCTTTTTGTCAGTTAGTGGCATGACAAGCTTTGGTGAATCTTTCTGTAGAGATTTAAAATATTATCACTCTTCACTATCTAAGCACCACTGCAAAGCCCCAGTGCTAATGGGACAGATGGCCTTCCTTTGCATTAGATTATGGCTCCCCATCACGTCAAGATGGGGATCTGAAGGACAGAGTGATAGCCTGAAGCTGTAAGGAAGGACAAAAGGATGCACACTGACTGACTGACAGCCCCTCTGATCTGGAGGAGCTAGAAGCTGTTGGGCCAGACTACAACCCACAGTGCATGCACTGCTGAGCCCGGGGCCAGTGCGCAGACAGCAGATGTAAGGGCAAGGAGGTGGCAAAAGCCCTTGCACCTATACGATAAATTTGCACTTGTGCCCCTCTGCTAAGTACCACAGCCCTGCAGGAGAAGCAGCAGGAGCAGATTTGTGTCTTCAACTCCAGCTGCATGAATGCAAAATGCCACTTAAATAAACTGCTGACTTTGCACTGCCACAGGTAAGGAGCAGGAACATCTTGTTTTGCCACTTCTGCCTGGAGATTTAAATGCAGTACCTTCCAGAAGAGACGTACCTAACACCATAAATCGCTGTGGACGCAGTCGGCAGAGCACTCAAATTGGCCAGTGCTGGCGGTCATGCTGTGCCAATTCGGGATGTTGCCACTTGCACCCTCCTGCACTGCCCCTCTCTTGAATCCTGAGGTTGGAAAAGACCTTTAAGATCATGGAGTCCAGCCGCAAACCAAAGGTTACCCACCTTTCCTTCTGTCTCCTCTCCCAGCTCTCCAGTCCAGCAGAAGGTATCACGTGCCTGTCTCTCAGATTTGGCATTTCAGTGCAAATCCACCTGCTTCCCCAGTTGCTAAAACACCAACCTTTGCACCAGAGTGCCCCCACCAGCTCTGCTCTCTAGATAGCAACTCCAGCAAAGAAGTGGATGCAAAACCTTCTTAAGCCACTGTAAAACGACTTGCTAAGCTTGCCAGTGAATTCTGCAGCAGCATTTCTAACATACTTAACTGCCTGTGATCGATCTATGGAAGGATTTCAGATGTAATCTCTTCTTTGGAAGCCTTCTTCATTTATAGCTCCACAGAGCCGTGTAAAATACAATCAAAGCCTAAGTCAGACAGAAGGTGCTCTTTTGCTGTTACTTCACGGACGTATAAATGATTACACAAAGTGCAAAGAGAGCGCAGGCAAGACCCAACACGCTCCCCCATCCAAGGATAAACTGAATCGTTACACACGGTTTGCCCTCGGGCAGGTTTTAACTTAGATTATTCCTGTACTTCAGCCAGGGTTGAAAAGGTTTCTTTGTTTCCCTAAGGAACAGAAGAGTCTTCCATAAATAACCCTGTACAAGGTTCACACGTGCTATCTGAGAGCTTCTCCCTTTTAATGGCAAAACAGAAAATAAGATTACCCTTGGCCAGTTTGTTCGCCCTGCCACTAAAACCTGTCAGTAGCAGGGAAAAAAGGTAATATAAAGGATACAAGGACTGGCAAAGAACAACTACACTCATGTGTTGTACACAAATAATATTTTGCTATTAAGTCAGTGATTAATTCTATTGACTATAAAAACAATTCACAAGAACTTCAGATTCGACAACAAAAATCCCTCCACCCTCAATTTATCACTCTATTTGCTCAGTCCGTACCTAAACAGGTAAAACAAACAAACAAATCTTAAACCAGTCCAGGAAGACGTAGTAAAACCTAAGCATCTCAGGACATTGACCCTGAACATTGCTAAAGCCCTACTTTTATTCCCCCCTTCCGTTTAGCCTCCAAACAAGTGCCTCAAGTCTGCATAACACTTCCCAAATCCAACAAAAGCGAGTATGTTAGTTCTTGAAGATACTGAGGATGCTGTAAAAGTTGCATTTTTTGACGTCTCAGCTCAGAAGCACATAATTTTTACATGCACTGTGACCTGAAATTAATAATAAAAACGAGCCGTGACAGCTGCTCAGCTGGATTTCTGTTGAGAATGAGCTCTGTAAAGTTGTCTGTAGTTTCTGAGGACAACAAGTGGTCCTGGAAACTAATAAGGGGCTCAGAAACATGCTAGGAAGACTTTTATACTTTTCCCCCCTCCTTTTAAAAAAAAAATAAATCCAAAATTATTCCTAAACACCAGTTTAAGCCATACTCCTGCCTGCCATTATCACTAGAAGGATACCACATTTTTAAAGGGAGACACTGCACATGGTTTGTGTTTGTTCTTGCATTTCACACCATATACATAGCTCTGTGCCGACTCTATCCTCTGATTATGGCTCACAGTAAATTTGTGACAAAGACAACTACTTGGGATTTGAACCAGAGGCACACACACACTCCCGAACTGCTCGTTTTACTGATTTTTTTTTTTAATGTGGTCCAGAATAACTGGCCTTATCCTAAAGAAGCTAGCCTGAAACTGATTTTCTGGCTTATTCTGATCTTAGGCAAATTTAGCTGGGATGAATGTGGACATATTTCTAAGTATTTATCATAACAAAATAGAGCACAGATGTCACGACGTCTCTGTGCAGTCAGCAGAGAAGCAGACACAACTTACTTACGGCAATTCAATATCAAAACGGGCTGACTCCGGAGCTGGTTTACCTGTGCCCCCCGCACGCGTATGGCGTACTACGGCTTCACCTTTACCTATATGTAAACTACTGATGCAAACCACTCTATTATCAGTTAGTTCCAAGCAGCATTCCCCCCTCTCTCTCGGCTTTTTTCCTCAAGCCCCCCAAGTCCACCCCGGGTGTCCGCACCCCAAACCTCCCTACCGACCGACCCC